TATAATATGACATTGTGGAGTCTGGTTTGTCCCCATCTCCCCAGTCGAAATTCCTTAGCCGAGGTCCTGCTGTGTGACTGTGTCAGTCCTGCTGTGTGACTGGCTGTATCCTATACATCCTATCCATCCTATAAGTATACATCTGGTGTTTCTAAGTACATCAGGAGCCAATCGCCAGGGGTCGTACAGCCAGACCCTCCCCCTGCACCGTCCGCGTTATGAAAAAGGCCTGGCCATGGGGTAAACCAGTGGCGTATCCAGGGGGGAGGCCAAGAGGCCATGGCCTCCCCCTTTGGCATCAAACATGCAAGTGGGCCCTTTGGGTCACTTGAGTGCAGTAACGTGCCCAAGGGGGGCCATGGGGGCCCTGAGGGGCGCCCTGGTTATCTGAGGGGCCCATGGTTGTCTAAGGGCCCCTGGTTATCTGAGGAGCCCCTGGTTATCTGAGGGGGCCCTGGTTACCTGATTGGTCCCTAGTTATCTGAAGGACTCCTGGTTACCTGACGGGCCCCTGGCTACGGGGGCCCTGGTTACCTGAGGGGCCCTGGTTACCTGAGGGGCCCTGGTTACCTGAGGGGCCCTGGTTATCTGAGGGGCCCATAGTTACCTGAGGGGCCGCTGATTACCTAAAGGGCCCGTGATTGCCCGAGAGACCCTGATTTTCTGAGAGGTCCCTGGTTACCAATGGGGCCTCTTGGTATATGAGGGGTCCCTGGTTATCTGAGGGGCCCCTGGCTACCTGAGAGGGCTGTAGTTATCTAAAGGGCCCCTAGCTACCTGAGGGGCCCCTGATCCCCTGGGTGACCCCTGGCCAGTGATCTGAAGAAACCCTGGTCACCTGAAGGACCCATGTTTACCCGGGGAGTACCTGGTTACATGAAGGGCCCCTGCAGTCACATTAAGGCCCTTAGTTACCCGTGGAGCCCCTGGTATAACCGTCCCTTGTTTCTCAGAGGGTCCCCTGGTCACCTGGTGGGCCCCTGGTCAATTGAAAGACCCCTGGTCAATTGAAAGGCCCTGGTCAATTGAAAGGCCCCTGGTCACCTGAGAGGCCCCTGATTACCTGAACGGCCCGTGATCACTGGGATTCAATGGTATGGCCAGGGGTGAGGGGGCACGTGTCCGTTATAGGGTTTAGGGTACCCTCGGGCCCGAGAGGCCCTGCGGTGCCATTGGCGGTAGAGGGCCCGCGCTGGCAACGCTTCAACTGGAAAGGAGACCACAGGGCTTGTGAGAACACCCCATGGGTTCTTGTGTAGCCACACTTATCTCCAGAAGGGCCTCACGCCAGGTTTTGAGGGACCTTGCCGGCCCTGAGGGCTCTTGCCGGCCAATAAGGGATCAGCTGTAAGGGCCAAATACCCGTTTGCTATGGCCCCACGGCCCACACCGGTGTTTCTGAGGGCCCTGACAACGGCGCCTGCGAGGGCCTCCACTGCCACCTCTAAGGGCCCCACATCAGTGCCTCTTAAGGGCCTATTTCGGCGGTTCTGAGAGCCCCCACATCGGCGCCTCCGAGGGTCCTATGCAGCGCATCTGACGGTCACTTACCAGCGACTCTGGGGGCCTCTTACCGACCTCTGAGGGTCCCTTGCCGGCCTATGAAGGGCCACCAGTAACTTTCAGGGCCCCACACACGCCTAAGTGATGGCCCCCACCAGTGTCTCTAAGCCCTAAGGCCCTCACAACGGCGCCTGTGAGGACCCCACACCAGCGCATCTGATGGCCTTTCACCGACACCTCTGAAGGACTAACACAGGTGACTCTGAGGCGCTCGTTCGCTTCACTTCCTCATAAAATACCGTGCATTTTACGCATACTCCTCAAGCAAAAAATGATATTTTTACCTGCCAATTTTGCACATTTTCTCAGGGGTTAGACAGACAGACAGACAGACAGACGGATAGAGGGACCCGTCTGCAAGGGGGACCGGACCCACTGTGCCCAATCCCCTCATCGAAAGGTTCTGGATACGCCCCTGCCTGGGTTGACAGCGGCATCCAGGTGACCCGTGGGCGCCTTTGAGAGCAGGCGGCTCCCTCCTGGGCGAAATCCTGGGTACGTGCCTGCTTGAGTGTCACAAGAGAAACGACCTTCAGGGCCTCATCCAAAGTACTGGCCCAAGCATAAATAAAGTCAAACTGCGTCAAACTATCTTAAAATGTCATTTGATGGCCCTCATAGGCCCTCAGAGGCCAAGGCCGAGCCCCCAGAGGCTAGCGTGGGCCCTCAGAGGTCGCTTTGGCGGCCATAAAGAAACTTAGACTCGAGCGTGGGATCCTTTGACGCTGGTGTAGAGCCCTAAGGAGCCAGCGCTCAGTCCTCTAAGGCCAGCATGGGGCCCTCTAAGGCCATTGTTGTGGGGTCTTCTAAGGCCAGTGTGGGGCCTTCTAAGGCCAGTGTGAGGCCTTGTAAGGCCAGTGTGGGACCCTCTATGTCCAGCATGCGTCTATGTCCAGCGTGGGGTCTTTTAAGCCCAGCGACATGGGGCCTTCTTAGGTCAGATTGAGGCCCATTGGCCACCGAGACTAGCTTGGGGCCCTCTGAAGACAATGTGGAGCCCTTTTAGGCCAGTGTGGGCACTCGGTGACCAGCGTGAACCCTCTGAGGCCAGCGTGGGGCCATCTGTCATCTGACTTCAGACTTCAGAGACTGGCGCTGGGCCCTCAGAAGCCAGCGCGGGCCTTCATAGGCTGGCGTCGGGCCATTAGAGGCCACCTCGAGGGCCTCGACGACCACTTTTCAGATATTATGCATGTTTGGGCCCCTGAGGTAGGAGTGGCCCTTAAAGGCCAGCGTGGGACCCTCAGGGGGCATCATGGGCTTCTAGAGACCGGCGTGGGTTCGAAAGCGGCATAGGGTCGTCAGACTGACTCAAAGACTCCCAAGTCCCAAGAGCCAGGGGGGGAGGGGGCTATGGGGTCAGCCATAGCATGGGTCTCCTGAAGCCATCATGGGGCCCGGAGGCCAGCGTGGTTCACTCTGTTGCCGGTGTGGGACTTTCAGAGGCCAGAACGAGCCTTCAGAGGTCGGAGTGAGGCAAATGTGGGCGACATAGAGCCATCAGAGTCTACATAGATCAGAGCTCAACCCGAGTCGGGCCCTTCTAAAGTTAATTAGGGTATCAGCCCTCAACCAGCACAAGACACTAAGAGATTGACATCTGCCCTTTGAAAAATGTTACAATCGTAAAAAAAAATTGACAAAACATTTTGCTTTGGATAATCTTTAGTGGCCCCGGCAACGACCAAAGCAAAAAAAAAAAAAAAAAACTCAATGCCTACTGGTGACATAAATTGTACACTTCATACAGAGCTATCAATATCGATGGTTTTTCACGTTTTCTTTTCCTTTTAGATTGCCGAGTGTGCCTAAAAAGGCTACCTCACATGGTGAAAGTGGCAGAGAACCGCACCTGGGCGTGGGTTAAGTACGCCACTACTGGGGCCCCTAAGGTAAGGGTGGGGCCCCTTGAGCAGGTTTGGCCTCCCCCTTTTCAAGATCCTGGATACGCCACTGGGGTAAACATTCGTAGTGATAAACTTGTCTTTATTATCTCTTTTTTTTTTGCGAAAAAGTAGTAACGATAGTTAATTTTGATATTGGTTACCTAAGACCTGTTTGCCTGCCTGCCAAGCTTGCCTGCCTGGTATGCAACAATGCGGGTTGCATGACAAAACATGTCGTAATACGTAATGATACGTCGTTTTGTGACATGATAAGACACGACGCTGCACGACATGTCGTAATGCGTACGACGTAACGCTACGTAATAAGTCACCTTTAACCCGCGCCCCGTAGGGGGGGGCCGAAACGGCCCCCCCCCTGTCCTTTTCGGTCGATATCTCCTAAACGGCTGGAGATATCGCCACCAAACTTTCAGGACCCCTCCGGGCATCAATTTTACACATTGTGACCAAAAAATTTTCCAGAGGCTGTGATAGGTTGGCCACAAATGACGTCAGAGTGACGTCATGTTCTGTCATTTTCGACCGAAAAAAGACCTTCGCGAGAAGACCTATCAGGCCTACAGCTTTGAAGATACAGAAAAATGATCAAGACATAAAAGGTGTAGAATTGACAGGGCTACAAAACTGCTATCTCGGATTTTTGAAATTTTTGAGTTTTGATCCCCAAAAATCAAAAAAGCATTTTTTTGGATATATTAGCCAAAAAATCCAAAAAGTTTTTTGAGTTTTGAAAAAACCGGAATATATGTGATAATACCTACCGTCTTCTATCTACATACCAAATTTCAGATCGATACCTCGTTTTTTGGCCAAGTTATAGCGAAAAAACTGTTCAAAAATGATGACGTCAAATTTTCAAACTCAATTTTTGGCAATTCTAGAACTCGTAGAGCAAAACAAAGACCACCATTAGACTCCCCGTGACGAGCTGCATCGAATCGATACCCATTTTATGCAAAAATATCAACTTTGAAATTTGACCTAATTTGACCTGACCTTGACCTGACCTTCACCAAAACGTGACCTAGGCTGGCCCCAAAGGCTGCCTAACCCACATAATCGCATTTGTCATGTAAAATGGACCATAAAACATGTATCACACGACACATTCATATTGTGACCCCCGGTGACCTGACCTCGCTGTGACCTGACCTGGTATCAGTGACCTCAGATAGCAAAGTATGTGTTTGACGAACAATATACCATCGATGGTTTTCAATAAATTACCAATTTACTCGATTTCACAGCACATTTCTTGAATTGCCTGTGAACGGTGAAAACCTGACCTTTGACCTGACCTGTGACGTCATCGGTTTGACCTAGGTCAATGAAATTTTGTCACAAGGTAGTTCCCGGGTAGGGCTATCAAACGCCGTTTGAATTTTGAAAATCGGCCGGTAACTTTCCGAGATCTTAGGGGGGGCCGAAACGGCCCCCCCCCCCTACGGGTGGTAGGGTCCGCTGGTAGCCCTACGGGGCGCGGGTTAAATGATTAGTAGAAACGTAAAAAACTGTAATTATGCGTTACAGATGGAGAGGACAGATATGCGTGAAGACCTGGTCGCCCTTCGCCGGGAGGTGTCCGCCCTTCGTGAAGTGGTGGCTGCCCTTCGTGAAGAGATGTCTGCCCTTCGGGAAGTGGTGGTCCCCCTTCGTGAAAAGGTGACCATTCTGAGTGAGGTAGTGGCGAAGGACCATTCGGACACGCAGAAGCTCAAGGGGGAGAACGCCGCACTGCACGGTGCGATGGTCCGCCTGGAGCAGGCAGTTATCGAGGAGCGGACCACTCGCCAGACCGTGGTGGAGGATCTGCGGCAGGAGGTCCGCCGGCGAGCGGCGCCATCCGGCCGTCCCCAGGGGTGAGACTGGGAGGCAGCAGGGGTGGCTGCGGGGGCTGAGAGAGTTCGGAGGGCTGTCATGGTGAGAAGTAAACTTTATTTGTAGAAGGTGTAAAAAAATAAAACATAACTAGGTCATTGAAGGTCGAGTAACTTGTAATTGTAATTTCCGCCCAATCAAAGAAACATGCCTTGAATTCGTACCATCTTTCGCAAGTTAGCCGTTTAGTCTCGATCATATTGTTCCAGTTTTCGACAGCCGTCCTGCATAAAGTTGGCCAGTTCGGGACATCATATCCCGCACGTATTTACATGTCTTCATCAACATTCGTGTCACAAAATATAATCGGTCGTATCAAATCGTTCAGATTCGTATGATATCAACTCTGAACGATTTTATGCAACCGAATAGATTTGACAACATACTATTGCTGACGACGATATGTAAATGTACTCGTATATCGGATCATCAAAGGAGCCAACTACAGTTGTGAACTTCTTCTGCATTTTGATTTATGTACTTTTTCTTGTCTTCCCAGTAAAATTACAAAAGCGTTTCATGACGTCACGGTACAGACGGAGCCCCAACCATCGGCAGTCAATGACGTCACGGTACAGACGGAGCCCCAGCCATCGGCAACTAGTGACGTCACAGTACAGACGGAGCCCCAGCCATCGGCAGTCAGTGACGTCATAGTACAGACGGAGCCCCAGTCATCGGCAGTCAGTGACGTCATAGTACAGACGGAGCCCCAGCCATCGGCGGCTTGTGACGTCACGGTACAGACGGAGCCCCAGCCATCGGTCGCCAGTGTATTTAAAACGCTTAGAGAGGCGCTCGGCCTTGTAACCATGACGACGTTCGACGCTCCGTCGGCCCTTGGCGAGGATCAGCTGACGGCGCTCCTGCAGAGTCTTCCTCGCTTGGAGGAGCTGACCGTCAGGGTGCCGTCCTTCGGAACGGGGCGGTGGCTGCGGCTGCTGCCGACGTCACTGAGGACGCTATACGTTGCCGGTGAGAAGTAGTTGAGGAAACGCGTACTATTACTTCTGAATGGTGGTAGGTACTTACATAGCACAAAGTAACAGACTCAGTGATAAACGTTCAGCGGACATATGTGTGCCATGCTACCTAAATGCTACACAAACATTAGCCACTGCATTGTACATACCTACTTTATACTCTTGCAAACGAATATGACCTGTATGTACTGAACCTGTATGACCTGTATGTACTGAACTGTATTAATTAACTGACGCATGTATAAGCATAGCGCATCCATTGTGCACAGTGTTCAATTACTGTCCAACAGTGCCGATCGACCCTGGCTTTGTCAGTGTCGTCTGTGTCAGGGTTTGACACCACAGTGTCAGCCGCCTCCCGACCCGGCAGCAGCTCCGTCCGACTGCTGTCAGCTGACACAGCTCTGTCCGACAGGGCCGGAGGTGACGAAGCCGAGGTGGCCTGGACGGTACGGGAGTGGTCTGTCGGTATCTCTCCAGGGGGTGGCTGCCGACACCATCAGTCACCTGGCCACGGAGCTGGGGTCACGGATTACCCTACTAGTCACGGATGGTGAGCAGCGGTTGAAGTTACTCATATATGAATGGCTAGGAAGGGATAAACAACAGTAGCTGTTCCGGCGCTCAGCATTCGCTGGCTGTGACGTCACGGCCACCCCGGTGGGCCGTCGCCCGGCTGACCTCCAGTGACCTTGAGACGCGCCGCCGGTCGCGTCAGCTGATTGTCGGTGGTGCGCGGCGACCCCAAACGCTGCCGGACTGGTCAGGTGCAGGTGGCGCTGCCGGGCGCTCCTGAACGGGGCAGGGGCGACACAGGGACACGAAGAACGGAGAAACAGGCCGGCGGCACCGCTCCTTGCTTGTTATTTTTGCTCTAAGGAACTGCTTTTTCTAGCATATGTTCATAAATAACGTGGAGAAGCAGTTTATCCCTGAAAATCTGAAGCCTAAATCAAACCAAGAATAACTGGATACAACACATATTACATGTATTGCAGGTAATGCTGCCTCATCCTAAGGTAAGACGGAAGCCATAAACCATGGCAAGCTGTAGGATGACAAGTCGTGTGCCGTGTGGTGAATGGTGATGGTCAATGATTTGGGCCTCTATACGTAATATTTACGCTACAAATTTTATAACGATACAAAATTGTTATAATTAGCTACACATAAGTGCTGAACAAAATACTTAGGTGAAAAGGTTTCAAAAACTGTCATATTGATCAATTGACATCATGAAAATATGCCTAGTTCGGAATATAATGCACTAATTAGTGGTGATTTTGTTTTATATGTCAAAGACCCATTATCATTGTATTTGTTGAATATTATGTTACGGAAAGTCGCCGTAACTTATGAAATTCACATCGTTTTGATAAAGTACATACATATTTACTCAGACACGGAATTATCACAGCATTGTAGCCACAAACAGTTTTCACTTTGTGTTTTCTACACCTGTAGGCAAGTGTACAATGTTTGACCTAGACAAATGCCTGACATTGGTTCAATCACCTTTCCAGCACAAGTTACTACTATTCCAAGTCAACTTCGTGGTGCCATCATCAGGGTGGGCCCAAACACTATCATCCTTCCGGCCGGAGTCGGTGACAGCGAGCTGACGGAGCTGCGGAGCTCACGGGAGACTGTGGAGCGGCTGTCAGTCTCCGCCGCCGATCTCCCGCGACTGAGGGAGCAGCTGCCGGAGGGCCTCGAGCGCCTCAATGTCAGAGGTGAGATACCACGGATCATACATGTAATGCCGGTATAATGGACAATGCATATGGATATACAAATGAACAGGGAGACAGACGGCAAATGGACGAACCGTTCGAATTCAGCCAACATCTTACAGCCTTGTTTGTGTTATATGGTATTGTTAGAGTGATGCAATGCATGCATTTGCATATAGTGTGAGCATCAAGTGCATGCATGAAATATTATTGTAGCAATTATGGTAATTTGAAATGGTTTCATTGCAACCACTGCGAACCATATATTTATGTAGTCTACCAACTTTATCCGTTACTATACCATGACTGGCTGCCCAGTGCCTAAGCCAATGTGCCTTGCAAAAATCGTAATACTTATGTTGCTCATATTTTCATATTTACGTATGTATGCTGTTGCTAAAAATATCGTTGTGCAGCCGCCCGGATGTGTTAGTGTTGGCTGTGTCAGTGTCTGACACTCTGGTGTCAGTGGTGCAGCGGGGAGCTGGCGGCAGCTCTGTCCGACTGCAGTCAGCTGACACAGCTCTGTCCGACAGGGCCGGAGGTGACGGAGCCGAGGTGGCCGGAATGGGACGAGGATGATGATCTGTCAGTGTCGCTCCAGGGGGTGGCTGCCGACACCATCAGTCACCTGACTGACCTGGGACGGACGGTCGAACTACTGGAGATATACGGTGAGCAGCGGCAGCACGGACAGGCCGATGATATACGAGATCAGCGAATGGCGGACACCGAGTAACGGTGTGCCGTTGTCGGACCTCGTGGAGACAGGTGTGATACATAGCCAATGTGCTTTGCGAAATAATGAAGCCAATTGAGCTTCAAAATGGAGGAGGACTGTTCACTCAGTGACATATTCGTTCAGTGTTAGTTGATCATACTCATAACATTTGTGTTGCACTGTTCAATGAAGTTCAATGCATTTGCTTAACTGATTGCATATTATCATATATTTGCACTGTTTTACCATTGTCTACTGTGTCCATAAAACCATGTGAGTTATTAGGTGTTTTTTCGTTTTGTCATATATCGACATGTATTACAGCTAACTGATCCTGTCTGTATGACATGTGTGTCTGTGTGTTTTCCAGACTGTCCTGATCTCACGGCCAGCAGCCTGGAGCCCCTCACAAGGTGCCCTGGGCTTAAAGCCCTATCAGTCACCGCCGCCGACCTCCCGCGACTGAGGGGGCAGCTGCCGGAGTGCCTCGAGCGCCTCAATGTCAGAGGTGAGATACCATGCGGATCACACTGACACATATAATGCCGCTATATGCAAATGGACAGCGTTGATGGCAAATGGATGAGCCGATCAGCCTCAACTAGCAATTTCCACCATTGACCGTGTACATTATTGTGGTTGTGGTGGGGGGGGGTCAATGCATGCACTTGCATAGGGTGCCGGTGCACATGCTTGTGGCGCATGCATGGAATAGTTATTAGTGTACCTAAATCCTAATGTCGCGGGGTGATTTTTAAAAGTCAAGGTACTAGTAATAGTTGCAATGTCACAAGCAGCAAATTTCCGAACAAAAGTAATTAGTCTGGGTCGACGGCTGACACTGACTTCTGACTAGTGACTGACTACATAGATAGCTCGCTGACGACGAGTCTGAGCAGACTGACGAGACTGACTGGCCGCGGCCCTGGCGCGGCGGTTATACAGAGTATAGGTGGCGCCACGATCGAAGGCGGCCAGCACGGGAATGCAGGCATTGTTTCAATAAGTGTGCAAGTATTTACAATGAGGGATGATTATACAGACATAGTGCAACCAATGAGAGCATAGGCGGCGGAACGGGGAGGGCACCGGGGCACCGTGCCCCCCTTTGATTTTGGCATTTTAACATTAGCCCTATGGGCGTTGCATGGAAAGAATGTGACCAAAAGTCGACAGTGCCCCCCTTTAATTGAAGGTGTTCCGCCGCTACTGAATGAGAGTAGTATAAGTAGTTGCATAGACTACTGTATTACGCTATACTTATCGCATATATTTATGATGTTCATATTCACATTCTACATATGACTGCTGCTGCTAACAATTGCTGTGCGGCCGCTCGGCTGTGTCAGTGCTAGCTGTGTCAGTGTCTGACACTCTGGTGTCAGTGGTGCAGCGGGGAGCTGGCGGCAGCTCTGTCCGACTGCAGTCAGCTGACACAGCTCTGTCCGACAGGGCCGGAGGTGACGGAGCCGAGGTGGCCGCTATGGAACCCGTTGGCTCGTGGTCTGTCAGTGTCGCTCCAGGGGGTGACTGCCGACACCATCAGTCACCTGGCTGACCTGGGACGGACGGTCAAACTACTGTATATATACGGTGAGCAGCGGCAGCACGGACAGGCCGCTGATATACCAGCTCAGTGAATGGCGGACACCGAGTAACGGTGTGCCGGTGTCGCACCTCATTGAGACAGGTGTGATGCATACAGTGGCGGATCCAGGGGGGGGGGGGCAAAATGGGCATTTGCCCCCCAAACGGCATAATTTTAACACGCGCACTGCAGCGGGTCTGAGCCGAACACGAACTGCAGGGGGGGGGGGGTTGAAAACAACCCCCCCTGAGATCTCGAAAACGGCGCAACGTAGCGACAAGCGGTAAACGGCGTTGGATAGGTTAAGATGAGATCGACAAGAAATACAAAGATCATTTTTGGGTCAGGTCAAAAACGAGGTCACCAGAGGTCACCGAAGACAAAATGTTACGATTTTCACAACAGGAATTTCGCGGTAGTTTTTCTTGAATAACTTGTCTTGCACACAAGACAGAGGATCGATTCGAACGCCATCGTTCTTAGCTCGTCAAGGCGCATCGAATGATATATAATATGACCTCGAAAGGTCAAGTTGAAAATTTGACCTCAGGTCAAGGTCATGACCTGACCGAAATAGGTCATGTTGCATATCATTCGATCCGCATTGACGAGAAAAACACGATAAACGTCGAACGGAGTCTCTATCTCTACTCAATCTCAAGTTATTGAAGAAAAACCGCTGGTGACCTCAGGTGACCTAAGATGACCTGGAGATCACCTTCCAAAGGTCATAAGTGATATGTTTCGGTGAAATCACCAACAGGGACCTGTAATACTATGATCCTGAGCGTATTGAAGTCATAGGATGGCATTCAGAGTAAGTTGAAATTTCTCCCATTGACTTATAATGGGCCGGTCGCAAAAATGACCTGACCTTACGTCATCGATATAAAAATTCCGAGATATGCAAGTTGTAGCTCGTGATGACTTTACTATTTCCTGTGGGTTTCAAGATCATATCTCAACAACTGTGGGCTTGGTGGGATTGCAAACTTCGAAATTTACGTTTCGAGGTAGGGTCACTTGACCTGACCTGGTGACCTGACCATAGGTCACCTGGGGTCAAAATTTTTACTCAAGGTGTGCAAAAGTTGTGAGAACAGGTATGCAAAATTTGGCGGCGCTACGCGCCGCCGTTTTCTCGCAATTTGCGAAAAACCACGGGGGGGGGTTGAAAACAACCCCCCCCCCTGCAGTGCGCGTGTTAACATTACGCCTATGGACGATGCATGGAAAGAATCGATAAATTGTTATGGATTGCCCCCCCCCCAACTCTGAGCTGGATCCGCCTCTGGATGCATAGCCAATGTGATTTGTGAAATAATGAAGCTAATTGAGCTCCAACATGGTGTGAATCAGTGAGGGAAGGGAATCGGTGACATAGGTATTCGTTGAGACTTAGTTGAACGTACACATAATGATTGTAATGCAATGTTCAATGCAGTTCAATGCATTGGTTGAACTGACTGCATATCATATATTACCATTGTTATATTATCGTCTGTGTCCATAAAACCATGCGAATTCATAGCTGTTTCGTTTTTTCCGTATATTTACATATATTCCTGCCGACTGATCCTGTTTGTATGTGTGTCTGTGTGTTTTCCAGACTGTCCTGATCTCACGACCGGCAGCCTGGAGCCCCTCACCAGGTGCCCTCGGCTGGAGCGTCTCACCCTGTCCGGCGGCGTCCCTGACGCCGTGAGCCTGGAGCCCCTCACCAGGTGCCCTAAGCTGCTGCATCTCACCCTGTCCGGCGGCGTCCCTGACGCCATGCTGGACAGTCTCAGCGGCTGTCCCGGGCTGTACAGCCTTACACTGGGGGACCGCCAGCGGCCGGCAGAGACGGCCTTCACAGCAGCAGCGTACACCAGGTCAGTCAGCAGACACTGGCGAGGGGTGTCCTGTCAGACACTGACACTATGACACACTGACACTTGATACACTAACACACTGACACACTGACACACTGACACACTGACACATTGAAGCTGACACACTGACACTGCCACTGCCACACTGACACTGACACACTGACACTGACACACTGACACTGACACACTGACACTGATACACTGACACACTGACACTGACACTGACACTGACACTGACACACTGACACTGACACACTGACACTGACACACTGACACTGACACACTGACACTGACACACTGACACTGACACACTGACACGCTGACACACTGACACTGACACGCTGACACTGACACTGACACTAACACTGACACTGACACTGACACTGACACTGACACACTGACACTGACACACTGACACTGACACACTGACACTGACACACTGACACTGACACCAACACACCGACACTGAACTACTGACACTGACACTGACTCGTACGTCCGGCCGGCTGGTACCGCTGTGTTTGTGTGTGACGGCTCTGCTGCTCTGCTCTGTTACAGACTGGTGAAGTCGTGTCGGTTGCTGTGGGATCTGTACCTTCACTGCACGGCAGACACCGGCCGGGCCGTGCTGACCGCCCTGAAGAAGGCGCACCTGCCCCGTACCATCAGTCTCTTGGTCCCCGGTAGGTGAGAGGGCGCCGCGCGCCGCGCCTCTGACCAGTCAGTCCCTCACAACAGACGCTGCACGGCGCCACCGGCCTCTCAGTCACACACACTCGACCACCGCCGCAGGCCACGTCACGGACGGTGACGTGTCGCGTCACGGCCACCACGGCCGACGGTGACGTCACGTCAGCCGTCTGTCCTGTGTGTGACGTCACTGTCCGGCGGTGTGTGGACATGGCTGTACCGCTGTCTGTGTCTGTCTGTCTGTGTGTGACGTGTCCACCTCAGACGTGTCTCTGCTCTGTCCACAGGGCAGCTGTACGATCAGCTGAAGAGCCAGGAAGGCGATTGGGTCATAGTGTGGGAGTGGTAGTATTGATGCGCTGCACTACCGACCGTGCAGTGATGAGCTGACTGCAGAGAGGCCGAGCCAGTCGGCCGGGGCCGCCAGCTGACTGCTGCCGTGTGTGCTGCACCAGCCGGCACTGAGAGCGGCGCCGGTCAGCCGGCACACGGCCCCTGTGTCCGCTCTAGTGTAGTGATCTAGTTATAGTAGTTGTAGTGTAGATGTAGTAGTAGCACACGGATGTGATGTAGTGGGTAATTACCGGGCGGGTATTGTGGGTAATTGCACGGGAGATGGCATGTAGTGGGTAGTTATCGGGTGGGTAATGTGGGTAACTGAACGGAAGATGTGATGTAGTGGGTAATTACCGGGTGGGTGTTTTGGGTAATTGGACGGTGAAAAGTGATGTGCTGGGGAGACTTCCGATCGTGGCATTACGCTATTTTGTATGTAGAACCCACGTCTCTGACCGTCCGACTCGGTTCACCGCGCCTGGTCCCGGCGGCACGGCCGGCCTCGGTCACGTGACCGTCCCCCGGTGGAGTCGGACGGCTCGGTCACGTGACCGCTCCCCCCGGGTCTGGCTGCACCTCGGCTCGGCGGTGCTGAGCGCCGTGCTGAGCGTGTTGTGACACGTCCCACACGGACAGCTCTACTCGACTACTGGCTAGCTGCCGTCCGAGCTGGCAGTAGACACGCGGTGCCAGTTCAGACGGCGGCCGGCCGCGCCGCGCCCGCCCGCTCCGGTCCCGGCCGGCGGCCGTCACCCGGCCCGGGGCGGCGACCGGTCCGTCAGCTGACCATTGGTCCGTCAGCTGATTGGTCAGTCAGCTGATTGGTCCGTCAGCTGACTGGTCCGTCAGCTGACCATTGGTCAGTCAGCTGATTGGTCAGTCAGCTGATTGGTCCGTCAGCTGATTGGTCCGTCAGCTGATTGGTCCGTCAGCTGATTGGTCCGTCAGCTGATTGGTCCGTCAGCTGATTGGTCCGTCAGCTGATTGGTCAGACAGCTGATTGGTCCGTCAGCTGATTGGTCCGTCAGCCGCCCCGCTCTCCACCGGCGGAGCGCGGCGCACGCCGAGACTCGAGACGTCAAACACGATGTCTACTATATACACGAGAGGAGACGCTTCAGATGTACCATCTGTAGCCTAGGGCAATAGTTACCGGGCGAGTATTGTGGGTAATTGGATGAACTGATGCGATGTAGTGGGTAATTACCGGTCGGGTATTGTGGATAATGTAACCCTGGGTATGATATAGCCGGCTATTCAACGGTCGGATATAGTCAGCTGGATGCTACTGAATTGTGTAGAGCTCTGACGGCACCGGTCATAACGAGTGTCCTCGCGTCTGTCCGACTCGGTTCACGGAAGCACGCCGTCACGGCCCGGGTGCGCGCCGCCATGTTTTGTGTCCTCTGCTTCGTACAGGGGGGTAATTGGGCTACCGACCGACTGGGAGTCGGAGTCGGAGTCCGTGTCGATCAAGCTGCCTTGACTCCGACTCCGGAACGGCTTTTTAGATTTTATAGTTATCACTTGGCCATGCTACTGATAATCGGCTGCGCTTTGACTAATACATTTTACACATGTCCAGTCTTTGTCCTGGAAAACAGCTACCTTCGGAGCTTACCTCATCATCTGTGCTAATGTCCTGGTGACCTGAGTACAGTTTGGCTCCACCAGAGGGGGGGGGGGGTGTTTCTGCGCCGCTGTGCCGCCGCTGCTGTGACCTGCCGAGCTGCGGTCCCGGCTCCAGAGCACACCGTCGGCCGTCGAGGCCCGGTCCTTCTGTTCCGTGCACATCATCAACAGGTGTCGTATATATCTATACAGGCCCAGCGTGGCAGTTCACCGTTAACCGGCGGCCACACACTGACTGGCTGGATCGCCACTCGCCGTATTTCACCGCCTTCCCCGGTGCCGGGCGGACGATAACCTGTATATACGACACACCGTTTTACCCGCCGTCATTTGGGATCAGGTCTGGAAGCCGCCTCGGGTAAATCAGCTGCCGTCTCGAGCCATTTGGGTGGATCTAGGATCCCATCGGATCCGATATCAGGATAACTACGTGGGATCAGACCACACATATACCTTTTCTGAGGTTCCTGCTCATCACACATGTGTTTTGGCCACTCTGACTGGTGTCATGTAAGTAGTTCCCTGTTGCAGTTCTGTGTGTGTTGTATGGCCTGCACCCGTTCCCCTCACAACTGCAGTGTTCGGTGCTGGTCAGTGACCCACAGCTGACACCGGGCCTCCCACCGCCGGCGGATGAGCCGGCCGGCCCGTGCCCGGCCCTCCATTCCAGCCGCCACGGCCGGCCAGCGGCACTTGTCCAACACCGGCTGGACACACTACCGACTCGGAGACACACACGGCTCGGGAGACACCCGTGGCGTGTTCTGGGGCCATACACGGACACTGCAGTGGCCACTGGGCAGAGGTGCGGACCGGACGAACCGCCCGCCCCTCCGACTGGACAGAGGTGCGGACCGGACGTACCGCCCGCCCCTCCGACTGGTCAGAGGTGCGGACCGGACGTACCGCCCGCCCCTCCGACTGGGCAGAGGTGCGGACCGGACGTACCGCCCGCCCCTCCGACTGGTCAGAGGTGCGGACCGGACGTACCGCCCGCCCCTCCGACTGGACAGAGGTGCGGACCGGACGTACGGCCCGCCCCTCCGACTGGTCAGAGGTGCGGACCGGACGTACCGCCCGCCCCTCCGACTGGGCAGAGGTGCGGACCGGACGTACCGCCCGCCCCTCCGACTGGTCAGAGGTGCGGACCGGACGTACCGCCCGCCCCTCCGACTGGGCAGAGGTGCGGACCGGACGAACCGCCCGCCCCTCCGACTGGACAGAGGTGCGGACCGGACGTACCGCCCGCCCCTCCGACTGGTCAGAGGTGCGGACCGGACGTACCGCCCGCCCCTCCGACTGGGCAGAGGTGCGGACCGGACGTACCGCCCGCCCCTCCGACTGGGCAGAGGTGCGGACCGGACCGGACGTACCGCCCGCCCCTCCGACTGGTCAGAGGTGTGGACCGGACGTACCGCCCGCCCCTCCGACTGGTCAGAGGTGCGGACCGGCTCGGCCGCCCGGCCCGCCCCTCGGCGCGGCTGCCCGGCTCGCTGCTCGCTGCACGGTCCGGTCGGTCCGAGACTCTGTCGGAGCTCTACTGGTGACCGTCCGGCGCGCCGCCGCCGCCGCCACCGCCGCCGCCGGCCAGGTCACGGCCCAGGTGGGGCGCGGCGGGGCGGTGCGTCACCAGACGCGTGTCCACGGACCGCCACTGGGTAGCTCGGGGGGCGGCGCGCCGCGGCACCTCAGCGCCGGCCCCGTGGGTCACTGAGCGGCGCCGACGGCCGCCACAAGAGAGCTGCCGGCTGGCTGTCGGCCGGCGGTAGCAGAGGGCAGCGGGAACAACCGTCGGCCCGGCGGGTCACCGACGGTCCCATCACCCACCGGGGACTGGTGGTGGGAGTCGCCCACCGGTCCCATCACCCACCGGGGACTGGTGGTGGGAGTCGCCCACCGGTCCCATCACCCACCGGGGACTGGTGGTGGGAGTCGCCCACCGGTCCCATCACCCACCGAGGACTCGTGGTGGGAGTCGCCCATCGGCCTCCGAGGGCGGGACCGCGGTGGGACTGTCTCTGCCGACTGTCCCTACCCCAGGAGTGGGACCAGTGGGATTGTCTCTGCCGACTGTACCTACCCCATGAGTGGGACCGGTGGGACTGTCTCTGCCGACTGTCCCTACCCCATGAGTGGGACCGGTGGGACTGTCCCTGCCGACTGTCCCTACCCCATGAGTGGGACCGGTGGGACTGTCCCTG